TGAGATTATATCCTTCTGCAACGTCCCTGCCATCTGTGGAAAAAGTTATGGGTTCGGATTTTGGAATCGTGATGTCAGAGCCGTCCGAGGTTCAAGCCCAAAAATGGATCTAAGCTATATTCTTCTCTCTATCTATCTCGAATGGACCGTGCTCCACTACATGTATCTGGACAGACTGCCAGGCAAGATACTTCCAGAATCCAGACTGATAACTCACCTTATGTAGAAAGTTACTAGAAACCAACAAACAGAAAACGCTCTGCCTCCAGGAGCTGAAAGCTGGAACCATAACTCTTCTGCTGTCGGGTTATACTCTGGAAGAGCTATAACTTCTGGCAAGGACCTCCTCTCATCATATTTGGTTCAGCTCGTGGGGTATCAATATCAAATGACACACTCCACGGAGTGCTCCAGCCACAGGGGGGTCGGATAAGTGAACTTGCTTACTTGACCCCTCCCTGTGGAAGCCATAGTTGCGTGAATATGTCAATAATAACCCCCTGCCCCCCTCTGGAAGCCCCCTGAAAAATATTGCACCTTGAAAATTTTATTGCGGATTCCGACAGCTCTTGAAGAGCGCAGTCGGAATCTGCCGGAAAAAAAAAAAAAAAAAAAAAAAGATATTTCAATATTTGGGCACTTTTTTTTCAAAACCGGTTTCCTGGTTCACGCCCCCTGGGCTGGTCCGGCTCCGGTTGGACCGGAGTAGCTCAACTGGCCAGTTGCTGGCCGAGCATTGAAAAAAATACATTTTTAGTATTTTTTACTTAAAAAAAAAAAGGGTTGTAGATCTCCGAAAGATCTACAATGCTTTTTTTTTTTTCCTGCCCACAAAAAATCTCTGTGAAAAAAAGGAAAAGCCCACCCATTTTATCTTCTTTTTTTTTTTATGTTTTTGATTTTTTTTAATATAGCGGTGCAAGGAAAATGAGCAATAGCGAGATGACAATGTCCAGAATGCACAATCACATCGAAGGCCAGATAGTATCACAGTGTCCAGAAAGCAGAAATGCACCAATATAACACGAATGAAGAATCGTAACACTGAAAACCAATGTCAATGAGAGCTTACTCTAGCCACCACCAACATGAGTGTCCAGGCCCTACCTCCCTACTTGGCGCTCGGCGCCCAGCCTACTTCCTACACAGCTACAGTCTGACTACTAATTAACAATGCAACTGTTGACGACAGCAGCCCACAAAGTACTTGAAGATGTCACCCAATGCAGACCATCGCCAATACCAGGTATGTGCCCTCACATCATCATCATCATCATCCTTCTCTCTCTCCCCTGACTCATTCCCACGTCTTCCCCCTTTACACCCGAAGACCACCCCTGCGCCTCAATGTAGTCCAAGCCCATCCAGATATGGAGGCTGGGTTATGGCGCTGCCCTCAGCAGCGCCCTGCTCCCTGCACGACCGCACACGCTAGCACCTTGCCTCTCAGTGCCAACAGCAGTCCACGAGCGTCCGCTCCAGCAGCGCTGCCGCCAGCATTCAAGTGCTGAATGCCGCTCCAGGCAGCGAGCTCTTTCCTATATGGAAAGAGCCTGCCTGCCTTCGCAGCCTGGCTGGCCTGGGCCTGGGCCCAGAAGCTTCCGGTAGGCCTCTGGTGCGGCTACTGGGCCTCATTCGGTTGGGCCTCCCAACTGTCTGTGTATGTGGCTGCGAATCTCACCCAGGGCCTGCACTTTCGGAAAAGCCTAGAAGGCTGTGGAATTTCCTCGCTGCTCGGCCTGTGTTTCCTTCAACCAACTGGCACGGCGAAACTGCCTGGACCCCAAATACGAGATTGACAGCCGAGGGCTTCTCGTGATTTATTAGGCCCGCCTTCACTTAGGGCGGGCGCAGATGCAACAGGGGCCCCTCAGGCCTGCTGAGGACCTAGATCCTCGCAGCGGAACTTCAAAAAATAAAATAAAAAATATAGGAGATGATGGAGATCTACAACCCTATATTTTTATTTTTATTTTTGCTTTTTTTTCTGCCTGAGAAGAAAATATTCCTGGGTCACGGTGAACCGCGATAAATGGGCTATTCAACGTCGTTTTACCGCGGTTTCAACGGCCGTTGAAAGATTCAATGCGGGACCCGCGTTGAAAGAACTCCCAGCTACTCAGGATGAAGATGCTGATCACCATAGCCAAGTAAGTACCCCGTTACTCTCCTCCAAGCTCCATTCTTCATCCTCCTCCTAGCGGGTCTGCGTCAGCATAGCTGGAGCTGGAGAGCCCGGTCTCCTTCCTCCTAGCGGGTCTGCATCAGCATAGCTGGAGCTGGAGAGCCCGGTCTCCTTCCTCCATGCCAGCGCTCGCTCGAGCAACATAACACCAAGCTTGTAATTGCAAAATGAGGGAGAGCAATGAGTGGTTTCCCACAATATACCGGTCAACTTGCCTCTTGGGCGGTGGCTTCCAGGCCGCTCGGCCTCCCACGCATCTGGTACTACCTTCCTCCTTTCGGAGGGACATGATTGCAGGTCTGATGTCGTCCGCTACAGCCCGGACCTAGGCCTACCGGACTTCTAAAATTCACTCGGCCTCTAAAGGTACTATCTTTTTGTCCTTTTCTGCCTACCTACTGGTAGTCAAGTATTTTCTAACCTATGTGGCCTACCCTACCTGCTACTTGAGTGTTTCCAACTACGTGGGCCTAACCTACCGCTAAGTCCCCGCTGCAAACCCACAAAAACACAGCCACAGGTAAGTACCAGGCCCGAGGGCCCTTCCAAACGTACGAGTACCCGGATGGGTCACACATAAGCAATCATGCACTCAGACAGGCACATGGGAACTAGCAAGCACACACACACACAGACTCAGAAATCTCAACAGAAAGTGGGAATCTCAGCAAGCCAAACATTCCAGCGGCAAAACTCAGAAATCAGCAGAGTTTGCAGTCGGTGACTTTGCAGGTCATTACACTACTACTACTCCCCTCAAGAGCGAGGTCCCTTTGAGTAAGTCAATCCAAGTCCCTGCAAATGCATCGTAAGCAAATACTGCAAAGACAGCTGTTGTATATTCGTAGGCAGTGAGTGCTGCAGCGAATGCGGGCTTCTGTCCAACAATTATGTGATGTTCGTACGCATTGACGACACGAGGTGCATTCTGCAAGAAGTCTTTTGTAGAGATCCAGTAAACTCTGTCAGCGGATAGTATGGATAATGAACTTGATGCTATCTGTTTTTTCCCTTTCCCTGTGTGTGAAACAATTCTGTCGATTTCATGACAACTGTCCATATCACGAGGCATCATTGGCTCACATTAGGGAAAGGAATGAGAAGCAACGTAGGTGGAGGTAGCTACGTTGTGGTTGGGCATTCATTTGCGGTAATATTCGATCGGATGCAAGCCATCGCCATCATCTTGTTGCAGCACTGCGCCAATCCTATACTGACTCGCATCAATAGTAACTACCAATGTGAGGTTGGGATCTGCAATGTGGAGCCTAGGATGACTCACCAAAGCTTCTTTCAAAGCTTGAAATGCAGTTTCACACTTCTCGCACCACACGTAAGTGACGTTCTTGCTTGTTAGTCTCGATGGTGGGTGAGCAATGACAGAAAACTTGGGTACAAACTTCCGGTAATATGAAGCCAAACCGAGAAAGGAACGCAGTTCACGTACATTCGCCGGTTGATGCCACTTGACCTTAGCCTTGGTTGCTTCGGGCTGAAGGCCATCAGTAGACAACCAGTGTCCAAGATAGGTGACGTTGTTCCTCCCAGTCTCATATTTCTCTAAGTTGAGGTGCAGTTGGGCCTCCTTGAGGATCTGCAAACTTTCTCAAGGTGCTTGATGTGCTCGTCCATGGACTTGCTAAAAATCAGAATGTCGCTAAGATAGACGACAACAAATTCGTTGATCTGATTGTGGGAGACCTTGCCTATGAGGCATTGAAATGTGGCTGATGCATTTCTGACACCAATGGGCATCACGTGTCTTGAATGCATTTTTGTGCTGGTCTGTCGGATCGGCTTCAATCTGGTGTTAGTGAGACTCGAGGTCAATCTTGTAGAAGACTTTGCACCCACCTGCAGCATCCAGGAGACCATCTATGCGTGGCAAAGGATAAACGTTCTTTCTAGTGATCCGTTTCAAGCCACGATAGTCAATGCACATTCAGAGTTTGCCACCTTTTTTGGGAACAAACAGAACAGGTGCACCGAAATCAAACTCACTAGGCCAGATCCATGCATGGTCAATCATGTCATTAACCTGTTTCCTCGGGTCCTCCAACTTGTCCCATACCGTAGACTTAGCCCTTTGGAGGAACACTCCCTTCTACTAGTTTGATCTTGTGTTTGACCGGATGCGCGGGGAACTCCACGTGGTTCGCCCAAGACTTCGGAAAATCAATCTAGGAGACAGCGAATGGTCGCTGGGATTATCGGTGGAGGATCATCCTCATCAAGATAGAGAAAATCAGTTTGCGAATTTACAGCAATAACAACTGAATTTGAACTAGATGGAGAAGTAGAATCATCTTTCGAAGTATTTTTAGAAAATGCAGCAAAAGTATAAGGCACGTGGGAAGGCTCAACTTTCTATTTATCTCGTAGTGAGGCACCTTTGGTGTCTGTCACAATAAAGATGGTGCAGACCAGAACCAAGAACCGACCTCTCATAGATAGAGCAAGATAGCACAGCTGAAGACCGGAATACCAATCAATGTCGTAATGCAGACTGGACATACATCATCATCATCACTTAGTGTGAATGGCCTGGCGCCACACAAGGACGAAGGCGCCAGGCTTAGCTCATACACAAATGAGGAGGAGGGGGAAGAGACGAAGAAGAGGTGGGGGATAGGTCAGAATGTTGTCAACCCAAATGTCGCTGATATCAATCCCAAATAGTCCCCCACAACGTCTCTGTCCAATGTCGTCAATCCCTCTCTCTCTCTCTCTCTCTCTCTCTCTCTCTCTCTCTCTCTCTCTCTCTCTCTCTCTTTGTACCAGGTACTGACCTGCGAAAGGTGGCGCCTTGATGCAGGTACGGACGTGCTGAAGACAAAGCTGGAGCGATGGCATCGCAGGTAAGTCTCAGGTAAGTACCCTGGCCTCCGCCACAGTCTCTCTTCTCTCCCTGTGCTACTCTAAGTCCTGTCAATGCCCAGCGCTGGAAGTCTACTACTACACTGATGTCATCCGAAGAGAGCCTCTACTCAATCCTCTACTCAATGTCGGACTGAGGCTGGACCCAGCTATATATAGCGTTGGGTCGGCCTCAGCTGCTAAGTCTGGCGCCCAAATTGAGGCTGGACCTCGAAAGTTTGGCCAAACTGAGGCTGAGCCTCGATCGGCCAAGCGCCTACTGAAACGGCACGGCCTCTGAATCAGGGTCTGGCGCCAAAACGTGCACCAGGGCCTGTAGCCGAAACAAGGCCTACAGGGCCTCTAACTGGTACCGGTCCTACTCAGGCCTAAAGTGGCCTACCGACCCTACAGGCCCCTACTGTGGGCCGAAACGACGTAGACCCTACACTCTACTAACCCCTAGCCTACCTGGTCGGGCCCTGCTGGGCCCATGTGGAACTGAGTATGCCACAGTTCCTGTTTCCTTGAGCTGGGCACCATGTTCACTCCTGCTTTGGCCACACAACAGTAGGCCCAGGAGTAGATATAGCTGGGCCAGCCTCATTTGTGGTACGTTGAGTTGGAGGTTGAGGTCTTCACGCTGCTGGGAAGTTGTTTCTAGAGTAGACAGAGTAGCGGAGTAGGAGGTTGAAGGCGGAGGCCAGCTCTGAGAAACTCACCCGCAGACTTACCTGGCGCCGTAGCTCTTGTTTGTCTTTGGGAGTTTTCCACCTACATCACAGCTCCAAGGAGACACCTTTACGCTGGTCAGTATTAGGCTCCACCTTCGAGAGACTATGAGAGGATTTTCTTCTTCTTCTCTCTCCCTCCATCTCCGTTGCTTCTCGTTCTCCTCCTCCCCTTCGATTCTTCTACGAGAGAGAGATTCGGAGAGTTGAGACTTGGTGACATTGGACTCAGACCTATATTTGGACAAAGACATTGGGAGACTATTTTCAGAGACTATTGTGGGGAACATTATTGAGTTGACGACATCTCCATGTCGCTCCCCCCTCGTCTTTTCTCCATCCTCCTCATCCGTGTATGATCCTGGCCACGACACTCTTCTTCTATATGTACGGTGCCATGGCCCATCCCTTGCACTGATGATGAGTGAGTTGCAGTCGGTCGGAGTCGTGTCGTGCTTCTGCTGCATTGTATTTTGATCATTCTCCTTGGTTGGTTGGGTTTTGCGCCATGCCCATCTGTTTTTCTTCGGACGTGCGACGATTTGGGATCGAAGCAGGCCAAAGGAATAATCAGATCTGCTAATCAAGTTGCAGTTTTTAGTCAGGATGCTAGATCGGTCAGTTTTGATTGCTTACTTAGTCGTTTGATTAATTCATTGGTTGATGGATTGATTGATTGATTGATTGATTGATTGATTGGCACTAGGACTTATTAGCAAGATTAATCCTTCCAGCGCTAAGTCCATCACAAGTTCCCAACTCACTAGCTGCAGGGAGGGCAATCTTTTTTTCTCTTTTTTTTTCTGCAATTATTTCGAAATTATGCCTGCACAAATTTCAAACCTTCACTGAAAGACCTTCCAAGTCCGAATTTCCTGACAACTCGTTGAAAATTCGCTCTTGCACAAGTGTCATCGAATTTGATCAAGTCCTTCCTCCGAAAACTTTTGACTTTTCTTATTGAAAGAAGTTTTCTCCTTTTCAAATTTCTCCTAGACTCTGCAAATTTTGTTTCTTTTCTCTCTTAGTTAAACCACTCCTCACCATCTGAACTGCAGTCTGACAGAGATTCATTGGACAGTCAGAATTTTGCGAGGATCTGGGTCCTCGGCAGGCCAAAGGAGGCCCTTCTTCAAATGTGCCCGCCTTACGTGAAGGTGGGCCTAACAAATCACGAGAGGCCCTCAGCTGCCAATATCGTATTTGGGGTCCAGACAGTTGCGACGCGCCAATTGGTTGAGGGAACCACAGGCCGAACAGCAAAGACATTCCACGGCCTTCCGGGGCTTTCCAAAAATGCAGGCCCTGGGCAAGAATCGCAGGCTCATACATAGACAGTTGGGAGGCCCAACCAAATGAGGCCCAGTAGCTGCAACAGAGGCGCAGCATCCTGGGGCCTACCGAAAGCTTCTGGGCCCAGGCCCAGGCCAGCCAGGCTGCGAAGGTAGGCAGACTCTTTCCATATAGGAAACAACTCGCTGCCTGGAGGCTCATTCAACACTTGCATGTGGGCGGCAGCGCTGCTGGAGCGGACGGTCATGGGCTGCTGCTGGCGCTGAGAGGCAAGGTGCTACCGCGTGCGGTCGTGCAGGAAGCAGGGCGCTGCTGAGGGCAGCGCCATAGCCCAGCCTCCATAGCTGGATGGGCTTGAACTACAGGGGTGGTCTTCCGGTGTACAGAGGGAAGACATGGGAGTGAGTAAGGGGAGAGAGAGAAGGATGATGATGATGACGATGTGAGGGCACATACCTGGTATTGGCGATGGTCTGCATTGGGCGACATCTTCAAGTACTTCGTGGGCTGTTGACGTGAACAGTTGCATTGTCAATTAGTAGGCAGACTGTAGCTGTGTAGGAAGTAGGTTGGACGTCGAGCGCCAAATAGGGAGATAGGGCCTGGACACTCATGTTGGTGGTGGCGAGAGCAAGCTCTCATTGACATTGGTTTTCAGTGTTACGATTCTTCATTGGTGTTATATTGGTGCATTTCTGCTTTCTGGACACTGTGATACTATCCGGCCTTCAATGTGATTGTGCGTTCTGGACATTGTCATACCGCTATTGCTCATTTCCTTGCAATTTGGTATTGGATCTGGTTCGAACTGCGCTTCATTGATTCTTCCCAATAGCTGTTTGGTGCTTTGCACGAAGAAGAGTGGGGCAGTGATAAGGCTTTGGCGTTGAATGATTGGCGGCCCAGGGTCATGTGGGCGCGCCAGGAAGCTATGTGGTGACATTAGGGACGTACGTTGGATGATGAGAGCTCGCTGATGTGGCATTTAAGCCGAGGCGGAACTGCATTCTGCTGTTGGTTGTGCCGAGGCAAGGACCGGTCATCATAAATGCACATCAGGTTGCCGGTGAGAAATATGTGGTTGGGGGCAGCATTATGAGGTACGTTGCTGAGGTGTCGCGAGCGCTCAACCTTGAGAGTCGACATTCTTCCTGGGCAGCAAGCTGGTGGGAGACGGGCGAAGCCTTTGAAGGGCCCTGGACGAAGCACTCGTGTCACGGTCACCATGCCATCCCGTTGGGACTAGTACACGCATGCTTTGCCGCAAGTCGTTGGTTATGCTGCTACGCAATGGAGGTCATGTAGGGCATGCCAACCCTTTGAACAAACGCTCACCAGCCCGTCTAAAAATATTTCTGGCGGGACTCGGTGTTGACTCTGGCTGTGAGCGTCGTCCAGTCAGCGACGTTAAATAATTCCTGAGGACCTTGGGGGTTGTCCTTA